AAATTATTTTATTTTTATTTTCTTGCGAGAAATCAGGATTAAATATATATATTCCTTGTTTAAGACTATTCCTTTAGGGCAACGAATCTGTGAAGATCCAACTGCAATATTTTTATAAATATAAATATATAATAAAATAATCTAAGACAAGTTTCACAGATTTGTAACTCCATTAAAAAAATTGTGTCACTCACCGATCCGATGCGCAACAGCGGAGTGAATCTGCCACGTAGCTACGATGATTCTGTAACACAGAACATTTAAATTATAACAGCGCTCTAAATGATAGATATTTTACAAAATTTTACATATATTTTACATATATTGAATCTACATATTTGTTTTTCAATTAAATATTCATTAAAATAATAAAACAATTTTCAATAAAAATCTTTATAGAAATAAAGATGTATAATATTTTAAACTGTTTTTCTTTCTTTCGAAAAAAAACTATAAATTTTAAATTATCGAAATTTATTAATCCAAATAAATGTGAAACTGATTAATTTTATGTTAAGAAAGAAAATGTATATTTACCGCAAGGTTGCTCCGCTGGTGCTCGATGCCTCTCCTAAGCCTCCTCCTCCTCTCCAGATGTCGGGTCGTCGGATATCCTCGCAGCACAGGACACTCGCGAAAAATACTCGCGAATTATTATAATCGCGCGCGGATTAATTTTAAATAAAAGTCTTTTAGTCTGGTCACTTGTACGATACTCCCGAAGCAGACTGCGGCGCGACAAACTGGCTGCAGTTCGTTCATTCACTTGAAAATCGGCGGCGGAAAAATGATAGTCGATTAAAAAAACTGATCGATTAATTTGTCACATACGAGCCATTGAACGACTCGTGGCTATGCTGTTAGTACATTATTAATGACAATAATATTATCTAATATTAATATTAATGTTACTAATAACGGTGCAACGGGTACTGTTAGCTTCTTCGTCTTTGGGATTCCGTTGGGGAACCCAAAGGAATCCCTCGGAATACTGAGCCCCTCTGCCACGTCAAGGCCGTACTCATTGGAGGGGTTATCGTTTATAAAAATTCATGAATATCAAAGGAATAAATTACGTTAAATATGTATATACTTTGTTAGAGTTTCGTCATTTCGATATGCTTACGAGTCGTTAATTACACGCGTTAAGAAGCATTTACTATTACATTCATAAGATATAACACGATTTGGTATCATTTAGCATTGAAGAAATACGGAATACGATGCGTACTACGACCTACCTCTACGAACACCAATGAGACATTGGTAGCGCGCAGAGCGCTCGTAAACACGTGACGTACCAGCCGCGCACGTAAACTCTTAACTAAACAACAATAGTTTGGCTAGACGAAATTCAACACATATTAAAAATCAAATTTAATTTCCACGAAGCGTTATTTATAGCATCTTTGATAATAAAACATTAAATAATTGTTTTATTTTATTT